CGTGTTGTTACAGGGCTTAGGAGTCTAGAGTTTCAGACTTGTGGGTTTGTGGGGGTGGGTTTAGGGGAGCAGAGTTTCGGGCTTCGCGGGTAAGGCTTTGGGTCTGAGGGTGAGGGTTGAGGGTTGAGGGTTCGGGGAAGGAGTTTAGGATTTATGGGTTTGGTGCTTTAGGGGGTTAGGATTTTGTGTGTATGTGAGGCATGACATGCGGACGGATCCCGAAGCCTGAGGATTGAGGGTTTAAGATTTCGGGTTTTGAGGCTTTCACATGGGGCTTGGACATTTGTTTCCGATCCCCAATCGACCTTAAACCCTGAACCTTAAACTGTGCACAACAGGCCATACGAAGTTCCGAAAACGGATGTCTGACATTCCTCACTTCTGGGAGTTTTCTTACGCAGACAGATACGCAGGGATGTGAGGGGGGTACTGTCAACGGGATATGGCAAACATAGGGGTTATATGGGGGCTATACAGGGCTTGGGTTACATAGGAGGTATGTTGGGTGATAGCCCGAAGCCACAATGATTGTTCGCGTGTGCCCCAGAATATCCTAAACCCTAGACCCTCAACTTTAAACCCTAAACCGTTAACCCTCAACCACAAACCCTAAACCCTTAACCCTAAACCTTAAACCCTAAAACCTGAGACCCTAGACCATAAACCCTGAGATCAATGGACAGCTACGCAGCAGACATGAGCCTGGTGCGTGGGATCTCATTAAAATTCGACCCAGCGCCCAGAGCATGTCGCGTGTGTTTTAGAGGTTGAGGGTTTAGGTGTTTAGATTCTAGGGTGGAGAGGTTGAGGGTTTGGGTCGAGGCAAGCCTTGTACCCTACATTTGGGAAATCGCGAACTGAACTAGTAGCTTCCATTTTCTTTTCCATTCCTGTGTTCCCCGCACTACCATCTTGACACTGAACTTCTTCACTGTAAATTTAGCAGGGGGTATGTCGGGGTCACGGCAGTTTAGGTTCAGGGCTTGGGGTGTAGGGTAGGGAATAGTGGAGAGTCAAATCAAAAAATGGAATGAGACATGGAAACTGGGATTATACGACGGGGTGCAGGGCAAATGTTGCCCAAAAATGCTCGTCGTCCTGCTGTTTCTTTTTAAGTTAGAACACGAATGCACAAAAATCCACGGCTGAAGGTATGAAGGCCTGGATGAAGCCCACATAATTCCTGGTCTTATTGCCCGAGATCATCGAAGCTACGCCCCACACTTCTGAACCCTGAGCCCCAAACTCTCAATTCGCAACGCTAAACTTTTAAACTTTACATAGACAAGGCAGCTCCCAAGATCAACGTCGGCCCATTGCCGCAGTCTCCCGTGGCCACCAGCTGGGGCTGGAAGCCTGCAGCGCAAGTGGAGGAGAACTTTAGGGTTCAGGGTCTAGGGTTCAGGGTTGAGGGCATTTGTGTTCAGAGTTTCTGGGATTTCTTGGGGTTGCTAGAGGGTTAAGTAGGGATGTATAGGGCTACGTGAGGTTTTGGGGCTTACCTTCCCTCATGCAACATAGCAGCCCATTTTTGAGTCCTCAAAGAGCTCTCTCATTGAGCAGTTCAGGATAGGGGGTTAGGGTTCGCTGTCCAGAGTTAAGGGTTGCCTAAACCCCTAAACCCTAAAACCCAGAGGCTTGGACTTCGGATTAGGTTTGAGTAGGGTTTAGGGTTTGGGGTGCTCGGGTTCAGGGTTGTGCAAGTTCTGCTTTCGGGTTTGGGGTTCAGAGCTGCAAAGTAGAGGTCTTAGCTACTGAGCAGCTTGCTTTAATTTTTGCATGGCATAGCTTGCCATGCTCTTTGGGAGGATACACTGTCAATTTTAATTTGTTTTTGTGAGTATGCCTTGGGTCATTCCACCGTACTGCAACCGTCCTGAAAGAGGTCTTGCTAGTTTATTACCAATTGCGGTAACTGCTACTGCAAGACAGAACACTTTAAAGTGTGCATAAGCTGTTGATCTGCCTCGCCAGTCCGTTCATCATTGGACGTCATAAGCTCAAATCAAAAAATGGCTGCAGCTGTGATCTTTGCCCAAACTCACTTGTGGAAGACTGTTCTGGATGTAGAGTTTTGGCAGGCGATGTGTAGGCTACAGGGTTTAGGGACTCGCAGCTGTAGCCAAGTCAAAAGCAGAGCCTTTCAACCACTTTGTATCTTTTACTTGCTAAACCCTAATGTGGGATGCTGATTATAGTGTAGGGGATCCTCCCCTGGAAACAAAATAGGGTATCTCATTAACATATAGGGGCGGGGCAAAAAGAGTCTTAACTGAACTTCAATAGGAGGGAACAGGATCGGCTCGGGTAAGAGCTCACAAGAGTTTCAGAAGGCGTTTAGAAGGGTTTCTATTGAATTATTATCCGATTTGTTTGCTGCCAACTGCGCACAATTAAGGCCCCCCCAAACGAATCAGGGAGCGCTGAATAGTTTCGGCGAAGCTTGGCCCCCAACACTCATCGAGATCTAACATTAAGTCTAAGCCTCACACCCTAAACCCTCAACTCTAAACCGCTGATGCCTGGATGGGTGTTTGCTGACTGGTTTGCCTTGCCTTCCTCTGAGGGACTTGAAGTGCGCACAAGGACTGCTCATTCCGGCAGTTTGGAGTGATCATGCCAGAGGGCTTCTTGCACAAGCCTAAACCCTAAACCCTAAACCCTAAACCTCTCAGCTTTTGGTCTTGGTCCTGGGACTGTGCCTTTGTTGCATTTCCATGGGACTCTGTCGTGCCATGGAGAAAAGGTCCAATAAAAAGCCCAACCTTAAACCTTAAACCATCAACTGAAAAGCCACAGGCCTTAATCCCTATATTCCAAACCTTAAAACCTCAAACCTTAAACCCCAAACCTTGAACTCCAAACCTTAAGCCCTAAACCTTGAACCTTTAATCCTAAACCCGAAACCTTAAACCTTAAACCCTGAACCTTAGTCCTAAACCCCAAACCTTAAACCCTAAACCTTAAGCCCTGAACCCTAACGCCCGTATATGAGGAGAACCCCTGAAGCTAACAGGCCTAGAGCCTTGACTCCTAAGTTTCCTTTCTCAAACTCCCACGAAACCTCAAAAAGCAAGGCTTCATTAGGCTATAGGGTGTAGGAAAGTTTAGGGTTCAGGGTTTAGGGTATAGGGTATATGGTTATAGTAGTTTCCATTCTCTTTTCCACTATCCCTGTATGACTCCTATATAACCCCAATATACACCCTAGTAGTAGTTTTGTTTTTCCATTATCCCTATATGACCCCTGGGTATGGGGTCTAGGGTCTGAACATTGCACTCTGTGCCCACAAACCCAGCATCTGCTATGCAGGATTACACGTAGCAGCATGGTGGGCACGCGCCGTCCTTAAGGGCTACTGGCATCCTTTCACGCTCCCCTCTTCTGCCACAGAAGACCATCTCCAATGGAGAACCCCACTCCCAGACCTGAAGCTGGGATCACAAAAATTGTGGTGCCCGGTTTCGGGCCGGCTACGCAAATCTGCTCTCCCACCCTTCCTCGAGTGAAGCATCCGACCGGGCAACTTGATTTGAGGGATTCCTGCACAGGCTTAACAGCCGTGTCTTGTGTGATCAAGTCAGGGCCATCCAGCTGTGCAACAGTGACAAAGAGCCTGGTTTCAATGAAGCGGCTCCTGCGCAAAGCATGTGGTCGCCATCCGCCAGGCCATATGGGGGTTTCCCAAAATTAGGGGTACCCTTTTGGGGGTCCCAATAATAAGGACTATAGTATATTAGGGTCTATATTGGGGGTTCCCCTATTTTGGGAAACTACCATAGGGGGGGTTTCTTCCCAACGATGGTAGACGGAGGTCTGACAAAGCAGGCTTCTCCAGTTTACACGATGAATCATGCATGCAACACAGAGGCCGATGTCACCCTTGACGTTCCATGAGACGGAATGTCAACCTTGACATCCGCAGATCACTACAAACCCAAAGGCATGATCACCGCGAGTACAGTCACACCCAGCCCAACACCTTCCAGAATGTTTGAGCAGGCTCACATGAGCTATAGTCTAAACTCCTTAAAGGGGGTTATATAGGGGATTATATAGGGGACGACTATGGGGCTTATTAAGGGGGATACTAGGAGTTTAGACAATGGCTCACATTGGGCGGCATCATGACCTCTGCACAACTTACTTTGTGCCCACACACCCAGCATCCGCTATGCAGGATTACACATAGCAGCCTGGTGGGCAAGCACCCGCCTTAAGGGCCACCGTTATCCTTTGATAGGGTATAGGGTTTAGGGTTCAGGGTATAAGGTTTAGGGTATTGGGTTATTCTCACAGTAATGTGGGAACGCCACAAAAAAGTTTTGCAGGGACAGGCTGTAGGGTTTAGGGCTTACAGCGTCTTCAAAATTAATATGGACCGTTTCCAAATAGGGTTTGTAGGGATTCGGCGTTTAGGGTTAAATGGAAGCCAAGAAAAGGTTTCATAGGGACAGTCTTATCATAGGGTTGTTATAGGGATGTATAGAGTTTAGGGCGGCTTAGAGTTTCGGGTGTATGCTCCCCGAAACTTGCGCGAAACCAAAAAAACGGCTTAAACCCTAAACCCTAAACCTTACATACATAGGCAGGGCGTCGGGTTTAGCATCATTTTAATCCGGGTGGCTGCATGGGGTTCCATGTTAGTTTGAAGGAGGGCAGACTTTGGCAGATCGAATCTGAACTTCAATTAGTTCCCAAACCCGAGCCCCCTAGATGCCAGCCCTACGCCCTAAGAAATTTAAACCCTAAACTCAATGCGCACTGAGCTAGCATCCGAACAAAAATCCTATATCTCCAAGCCTCTATGGCTAAGCCCAAATCTTTCCTCGGCGAGAGGACCGCCGCTTTGGTCCTGTGAAGTCAGAGCCCTTGGTTCGAAAGGCCAGGCGGATCAGGGTTCAGGGTCTAGGGTTTAGGGTTTAAAGTTTAGGGTTTAGGGTTTATTTGGTGTTTGGGGTTTTTGTGTCTAAGGATAGATAAGGTCCATATAGGGTACATATTACTGTAGGGGTTATACAGGGTTTATAGTCTTATAGTGGTTATATATCGATTATGTGCGGATGTTATGGGGCGTTTGAGGTCTTAGCGTAGGGTTTGGGGTTAGGGTTCAGGATTTAGGATTATAGGAATGGACCCTGAAAGCCACATTTAGCTGCAGGGCTAAAGCTTTGAGGTTTTAGGAGAGTGGAAAAGCACCCGGGAATAATTGTGATGGATGATCAAACGAAAGCAAATGGACATGACATGGAAAGTGGGGTTATAAATAGGGTTTGGAGTTTAAGTGTATTCCGTATTCAGGCTACCAACAAGGATAACCAAGTGTAACGGAACGTGAAAAATGCCGTGGGAACTTGGAGATTATGGAGGTTTCGGTCCCTGTAAAGAGGGATATTGAAGGACGCGGGGCCTTTTTTTTAAAAATAGGTTTTGGGGTCAGAGCTTATGCGTTTAGAGTTTTAGGGTGAGGGTTTTAGGGTTTTAGGTTTCGGGCTAAGGGTTTGAGAGTTCAAAATTTGAATTTTTGGGGCTTTAGGCTTAGGGTTTAGGGTTTTAGCATTTTGTATGTACCCCCTATATATCCTTGCGCGCCCCTCAAAAATCCAAATCTACTGCTTGTGTACATACCGCGTAGGGGTTAGGGTTTGGGATTTGTGGTTATTGTTTAGGCAGTTACGCCTTGGGGGTTTAGTGTTTATCATCTTAGTCCGGAAAAGTCTAGTTAGGGCTTCAAGGCTTTAGGGTCTAGGGATTTGGGGCTGAGGGTTCAGGGTGTTCGGGTTTGAGGGTTACGGGTTGATTAGGCTTTCGAGGCTCAGGGTTGTAGGGTTCCAGGGGCAGAGGTGATCTTTCATATGAGAAGCCATGAACCTCCCCTGGTCTTATGTCAACCCTAAACCCTAAACCCTAAATCCCTGAACCCTAACCCCTAAACCTCAGACCCTAAGCCCCTAAGCCCCTAAACCCTAAGCCCTCAACAATCAACCCTAACCCCTAAACCTTGAACCCTAACACCAAGTCGACGAGAAGGCCTCAGTCCCAGAAGAAAGGGATTCCCCTACTACTGGGCCTGGGCCCCCCCCCCTCACCCCATGTGAGCCATAATCTGAAGTCCTTAAAGGGGGGCATACAGGGGATTATATAAGGTTTAGGGTTTAGGGTCTAAATTCCTTAAAGGGGGGGGTCCTTATAGGGGATTATATAGGGGACTTAGTATAGGGGTTATTAAGGGGGATAGGGGGGATACTAGGAGTTTAGATTATGGCTCATGTTACCTCCCCTAGGTTTCCTCTATTAAGGTTGTTATAGGGCTAGCAGAAAAACCCAGGAAACTTGTGAAGGAAAAGTTTCTCAGCACGAGCCCCTAGCATCCTGAAGGCATACCCTTATACGAACCCTTGTTTTTTCTCATGGTCTCGGGCGAGTGTATGTAGGGTTTCTTAGGAATATTCTTGAGTATATATATATATGTATATATCGAGGGGCACCTGAAGTTAAAATGACGGGTCATGTGTGCTTCGTAACTGCTAGGTACCCAGCGGCCTGCAACTAGGGCTTAGGGTTTAGGGTTCACCCTCAACTCCATAAGCCATGTTCAGAAAATGGTCTGTTAAAATTGTAAATTGTGGTCTCCGTTTGGGTGCCTTAAATATTAGGGGGCCTTATTATAATGAGTTCCCCAAAAAAGAGACAAAATTGACTACTTTCCATATGGGTGGATATCTCTCTCCAAAAAAAACTATATCACCTCCAATAAGTTTCGGGTCCCAAGGGCCCCTCTACTGTAAGAAACAACCATACTGGGTTGCAAGGAGTTGCCCCTGGGTCAAAAGTTCATCGGTTCAGGGCTTTGAGTTTAGGACTTGTTTTTGGGGGTTAGTGTAGATCCATGATTAATAAACCCTTCCTCTCAATGGCCTCAGTATTAGCATCCCTACTATAATCCCTACTAAGTTTTTATTTTCAAAATCCGGGGTCTACATTAGGGTTCAGGACTTATAGACATTGCATATAGGGTTCATGCTGGGAGGTTATTGCGGTTGTTTTGGCTTCAGCCCTGGCAGCTTCACAAAACAAACAGATTACTTTTGAGGCTTTTCCACCCCTACATGGTTGTAGAAAGTCCGTAGGGGTTTTGAGTGACGCTTGACTTTTTTTGTGTCTTTATTGGCTTTTTTGCCTTATACACTTAGCAGGATTTGGGAGTCTCCAAAAAAGAGGTTCCTGTTACACCCTCGAGCGTTTAACGTTTGTTATCGGAACCCCAGAAAGAGCTTCTTTCTGAAAACACACTTGAGCTCTAGTCACTCTAGTCTACACCCCTTAACGGGATTCTGTCGGTGATCTTATAGGGGGAGCATTATAGGGATTATTAAGGGGGACACTAAGAGTTTAGACAATGGCTGACGCAGGACCTACGGTTCAGGGCACCGGAAACCCTACACCCTAAACCCTAATCCCTTAACCCTAAATCCTTCACTCTATACTACTTAAAAGGAAAACTACTCGAAACCCTAAATGCTACACACTAGGCCCTAAGCCCTTAACTCTAAACCCGAAGCCCAAAATCCTAAACCCACAGGAGTTGTCTCTCTTGAAGGCCCCCGTTTGCATGAGTAATTCCAGCAAAGATGTTGATTCCCAACGTCTATGCCGTTGCACACTGTTTGCATGTGAGCTATTGTCTTGACTCCTAGTATCCCCCTTACAAACCCGTATACTACTCCCCTACTTGGAGGGTCAGGGAGACTTAGTAAATAGGTTAATAACCCCTAAAACCCATATAGTGACCCCATTTATCCCCATTATTAACCTACTTACTAAGTCCCCCTGACCCCCCAAGTATGATACCCCTATAACCTCCTGTAAGGAGTTGAGGCTATAGCTCTTTTGCTTTTGGGAGTTACCTAGACCCTCCAATGTAGTTCCTTTTTGGGTTTGGTATGGTTTTTTTGGTTAAGATTCTTATTGGGACTACGAAAAAGGTACTACATTGGAGGGTCTAGGTATTCATGAGTCCATAATTGCCTTACTCCCAGACCCCGAGCCAAGGGGTCTGAGCCCCCAAGCCCTAAACCCTAAAGCTTGGGGTACTGCTCCCACTCATTAGCAGTTGGAGAATGTTCAGGGGTTTAGGGTTAGAGTTTAGGGTTTAGACCTTAGTGAATATATATATATATATTTATATACGCTGCCCATGTTAAACTGTTGATGGGCGGGGGCAGGATCCAACCCTAAACCCTAAAGCCTAAAGCCTAAACCCTAAATCCTAAACCCTGAACCCTAAACGGGCAAACCCCTAGGTTTCTGCGGCGGCCACTTTTCTAGCGTACTCGGAAGTCACGAAACACTGGCAGGCGTGAGACTTTTGGGACATGTGGAAAATATGGGGCTTCCAGAATTCTGACCTGAGGGGGGGGGGTCAGGTCGTCGGTCTGCACAGGCGCAGTGTTTCGTGAGAGCGATTTTTCTAAATTGCTACACATGGCCGCAGCAGAAACCCAAAGGAGCCCGCTCAGGGTCGAGCAGCTGAAAAAGGACGTATGATCATCACC